TGATTGTTCAAACCAGGATGATAATTATTGGTGTAAGGAGTTGTTCAGTTGCCTTTGGAAATTCTACGCATAGTTGACCTCAGCAGGCTGACCCATGCGAGTAGAAGATAGAGAGCAATGGCAATAATATGATCTGTCCCACAACCTACACAGACCGATATGGTTGACGTACCATGTTAACAGACTGAGATAGTTTGTCAAGTTTCTTCATTATTGCCTTCATCTATAATGCTAATGTTGTCACCGCATTTATGTTATGTATACATGCTGCTTTCTTTGGGAAGTCCCATCTCGGTTAACCAATTAGCTTGATTTTTGGCAATCCCCTCACAACTATCGAATACATTATCAACCTCCATTGTCGTAACTGAGCCACCCGTTGAAGCATTTGTCATGTTGCAAAATTCTAGGCCAGTCTATAGTAGAAAAGATACCCCTATACCTGCTTATATTCGGCCTTCGTTAGCAATAGGTATGTGTGGAGTTAGTGGGGATTGTTGGATCAGATCCTAAATCTAATTTTGATTTTGATTCCCAATAATTAGCCTTGCTTCTCTTTGTTCTCTTTTACGCTTTTAGAATATTCTTTCGATCATGGGATCTAGTAGAGTTAGATCGATCTTGTCAAAATCTTGTTAAGCTGATAAAATCTAAAAGAGGTGAAACATAAAGAATTCAGGTATATAATGAATAATTTAAAAGAAAAAAGAAAAAAAAATTTCAAATCTAATATAAACTAATAAACTAAAATTAAACAATTATTCCCCAACAACAGTGCCAAAATCTTGCTCTTACGAAACCTGCAAGTGTACGAAATCATTGGCAAGTAATAAATTAAGTGAGTTGAGTTATCGTCTCACAAGGAACAATGTTTAATTATGGTTCACTAGTTATAACCAAATTCGATAAGGAGTAATGCAAAAGAGGTCGTTTTGACTTTTATTATAAATTTAACTACGAAAACAATAAACATGATTTTATCAAATATGAGATAAATGAATTGGATTTTTGAATTCCCCTATTAATGCTATTTCCAATTCTCAACCCGTATAGAGTATTTTTCTAGTGTTAATGAAAATCAATAATCCAATTATATTTAATATTCTTTTCCAAAATATGTTAAAACTATGTTTGACATGACCTGATCACATTCTTAGTCCAAATTCATGTAAAAACATGCATTAATTCACAAAATTTGTCACACACGATTGCACACCCCACAAATATTATTCCTAATACCTATTGTCCATGTATTAAATATGCAGCGTTCCACATATTATGGGCCTTCCATCACTACGAATAGACAACAAGTTATCTCAATGGTGGACAATAATTCAAACAACGTAATATGAATGCATAAGTAATATATATAAACCTTAATAGAATCACTAAATTAATGAATCTTGAATTGAAATCAATAACTAATAAGATTCATCATCCATCCAATGCAAGAAGAATCAAGACCAACATTCTTATAATTAAATTACATGAGAATAATTAAAACATCATCTAAAAATAAGAAAAATGAAAGAAGTATGAGAAATCCACATTCTTGGTTCAAATCTTGAAACCGGGTTATGAATCTTCAAAATTATTGTATAATTCACCTTGAATTGATATATAAACTTGATCTTTGCCTCCAAAATATGTAGAATCTGATGAAATTTAGGTTGAATGGAAAATCATTCCGTTCTGGTTGAATTTTTTGGTATTCAAAGAATGCCAAAAAGATTGCATTGAATTGTTATCCAAACAAAAATAAGGAAAATCAAAATTTTCACGTTTCTATACTGAGGCTTGCGCTTGGCTTGTTCGAGGGTGCCAGAGAAGTGGTTGAGGCGCAAACCTAGCCTGGTTTTTACAATCAAATAGCTTTCAGTATTTTTGTCATAACGTTCTCTCTCGATATCCGATTGAGGTGATTCAATGTACGATGGAAAGCTAACTTAAACTGCTACAATTCTTTTTGAAATATCATTTTCCAATTTGAACATTTTCTATGCTGAAAATAGGTCGCAATTTGAAATTGAAAATCTAGAGCATAACTTTTTCGTCTAGAAAAAAGGTTCCCACAGTTATATAATGTGTTGTCCAATCGTTGATTATGTAGTTTCTGCATAAAAAAAATTTTTGTGCTTTGATGTATCAACTGTGCTAATTTCTCCTCGTCACTTTCATCTTCATTGTATTAAGGTGCACATCTTCTTTGAGAAATTTTGCTAAACTTAATGTTGTCAGATAAAAAATTATTTTGGTGCCAATGCTTAAAATCCAACCTAGTAAATTTCTCAAGCTTTTTTCAATCGTATTAGGGAGTGGAGTATTGGAATTTCTAATAAAAAAAAATTAGGAGAGTAGAAAAAGAATAAACTAGAAATTAAAATTCATCTTAAGAAATTAACTTGCACTTGTTGATTTACCTGAATGGATTTGAACAGCGTAACAGGATGATCAACATGATCAGAATGTTAATTCGAGCCCTTCAAATTTACGATGTGTCGATAAGACGATTTTGCTCCCTTCTATGATACTTAAAAGAATTTAGCAACCATCTTTCAAAATAGGACGAATTTCATCTCCTACAAAAGCAACATGGCAATCCGCGTGAGTTGTGAAGAGTTTCAATGCACTCAATGAAGTGTTTTATACTTTGAAGAGCAGTATCAAAATAAAGAGAGGGAAGTAATATTCAAAGGAGAAAATATTCACAATGAAAATAGTAAAAATTTTCTGGCAACAAGGCTTGCTATTTAAAGATTTATTCGTGGCTTTCGAATTCTCTACAAGCCTTTTCAAAACAGTAGCGACTGTTCGGACAGCCCTCCAAAAACAAACAAACATGTTTGTTAATAGCAAAAAGTACATGAAAACAAGCCAACGTATAAAATTTAAATTACCGTTAAAATAGTTTCACTAAATACCTAAAAATTTGATTAATTGTTGGACTTGGACAAGAGGCCAAGCCGTGTAGAGCTTATTGGATGAACGGCGGCGACCCATGAGTGGACTCAGATTGTATCCAATAAAATATATGTTGCGAAAATTACAAAAATCCAAGCATTTAAAAATCTCAATGCAAAAGTCAGGTAAGATGGTTTTTTATGCAGATTTCAGGTTTTAATTCAACTATAATATTAATACAAAATATTTCATCATAATTCAACCCTAAAATTCTGAAAATCATTTCACACTGCCGCCCTCTCCACTCCTCATTCTCTCCTGTTAACCCCCAGCGAAGATCGTCCCAGGTGTCGTCGCCCATTGCCTGAGTCCATCGCCCACTGTCGGAGAGAACCTTTCTTATCGTCTTACAATGGTGCTTCTACCGCTGCAAAGCACTGCCGCTTCGAAGCCGTTTCCCATCGCCCCTACAGCGCGAGGCGATATGTTCTATGCAAGCATGGACTGAAACTTGGTGCGCTGCTGCGAATCACCGTTTCACTTCCCTCTTTTCCAATCTGCTGTTTTCTCTCTCGTACCCTCTTTTTGCAGTGGCAATGTGATTTTTGTGTTGTAGTATTGTTGGTATGTTGAAGGGGAATAGGTTGCGGTTGGTGGCCTACTTGGCTTGGTGCGGTGGCTGTGGGTAGGTTTTCATGTGGTGGTGGTGGTGGTGGCGGTCGTTGTGATGGTGTTGTGGCTATGACCAAGTATTGTGGTGGAACGGGATCGGGATGGGGTGTGTTGCGGTAGTTTAGTGCAAGAGGCGATTGGATGGTGGTGGGGTGTTAATCCGTGACCAACTATTTCGCTGATTTGTGACCGAAAATTAGGTATATGTCACTAAAAATTTGCTGGTGGTGGCGAGATAGTGGTTGGCAGTTGTGTGATGGTATGGTGTGCTGTAGTCGGTCGTTGTATTTTGGTGGTCGTTTTGGTTGTTGTTGGCGGTGGTCGTGGTGTTGTGGCGAGGGCGGGGTGTAATAGTGATTGTGACCAATTGTTTTGGTTGCTCTGTGACCAAGAATTGGTGGTGGATTGGAATTGGGAATGGAGTCTTTGTTATATGTGACCAATGATTTTGTCTGTGACCTTAAAAGTTGATAATCTGTAACTATAAACTATTTGTGACGTCAACGATTTGGTCTGTGACATTAAAATTTGATAATCTGTGACTATAAAATTTTTGATTTGTGACCTGAAATAACTTGTGACTTACAAAATTTGTTCTGTGACCTTGAAATAATCTGTGACTAATTAATTTGACGATATGTGATCAGTAAATAAATCTGTGACCCATAAATATGAACTTGTGACCATTAATCATGTAACTATGACTTTATTATCTTTAATTAATAAATATTTTTAATTAACTAAATATAAACCTGAATTTTGAAATTTCAAATTATTTATCTTATTTTTCAATTGATGTAAACAATACACCTGAAATATAAATTTTTCCCATATATGTTTACCCTTCCAAAGACTGGTGGTACCTTGTGGCCCAAACGCATTTGCCAAACTTTTAATGTATAAACCACACAAAAGTTTCGAAGATTTTTTTATGTGGGACGAATTTTAACAATTTTCAATTAAATCAAATTCTTCTCTTATTTAAAGTATCGAGTAGGTAGCTTTGAAATCAAATATCTCATTCAATTTTAAATGATTTCCGATAAATAAATATATTACATTAATCACTTACTAAATAGAGCGTAAATATGCTTGATCCTACGATAACATGGGAGTAAAGAGTCCAAAAAATAGACTCGAACTTGACCCATTTCACAATTTATTTTTTAAACCATTTACAACAAAACCAAAGAAACTCATTGTTCGTTAGCAGCCAATCAAAGACAATTTTGCAAGGAACTTTGATCAATTATTTCAAACGCATTTAATTTTTTTTTTTTTTTTTTTTTTTTTGCTCTTTTGGCGTGACACACTACTAAAGCCTGGTCGAGATTTAGGTTTCCGTCAAGACGGGGTGGTGCGAGCGTTAGTAGTACCTCTACCATGTTTATTTTAATATTTCAATGGCCAAACACTTGTTGCATATCTATTCTGAATAATCCCATGAACTACATATACTCGTAGGAATCAATGAGTATAATTCTCTCTCTCAATTACAGCTGATTAATTCAGTATACAAATGTTTCTAAGAAAATTAAATCTGATGAAGATGGAATACATGTGGCACAGCTAGTGATAGATGGAGAACAACGATTAACACTCTCTTGAGGGAAAATAATCATCGTCTACGTTCCACTAAAAATGGTTTGAATGTCATCAACACTCCGACTACCTCAATTATATTCAAGATGAAGAACACAATTTGGTTTCCTGCATGTAATCAACACTTCTAATTAGCTTTCAACCAAACAGGATAAGGAAAATTCACAATATAATTAGTTTAACAAAGCATTGTGTAGAACACAGATTATAGGAAAGTATATGCAGGACGTGCAAGTAGAAGAACCAAGCTGCCAGAGTTTAAAAATATTTTCAATCGTCATTCCGATATAAACTAATGCACATATTCTTTAATAATCAATGTTAAATATGCAGTTGATATAAGCAAACACTATTAAACTTGATGGTCTAGCCATTGCTTATACTTCCACACACAAACTAGTGTTCTACTAAACATTTCGATGCACTACACAATTCAATGCACAATTTTTATAGCAACGACAATAGTCTCACCCAAAAAATTGATTATTCTAAAGAAAGTTTTGGACTAGATATATACTTCGAGCCTTCCTTAAGTGATGAACTCCCAATATTTAAAGAGACACTCTTGGGACTGTTAACTCTGTCTACCTAATTCAGAAAAGAGTACGGAGCAATTATTGGTAGTGTTCACATTTGACAGCACCTAGGATCTTCCCAACATTGAACCTTCTTTACCTTTTTGTTTACCCACCCGCCTTCCCATGTTCAATCCCGAAGGCTCCTAGCTCATCTACATTTGTAGCTCAAGTAAGCTGCAATGAACTCTCTACTTGTCCTCTCAAAGTAAAATCTCAGATGCTCAATTATAAAATGCTAGTCATATCTCTGTTTTGGAATCAGAACGACATATTTAACGTAGGTGGATAACTGTGCAATAACTTTGGTTTGGAGCATTCCTTGAGGATGAATTTCAGGCACTATAATTTTGGTTGATCATGGATGAACCATGTTTGAATAGATGAACCTTTGTAGGAAGGGAAAAAGGTGAGAGTGGTTTTATCTTGAAGGAGATGAATATTTGGATTTTCCAAGTAAACAGATGGGTGGACATGAGAATGAAGTTTACAGGAAGTTCATGAATATAATGAAGGATGATCAAGAAAATGTGGAGCTTGAGTATTTTGATGCAATTCCTCATGTAATAGGATCATTGTTAGTAGACAATCAAAGTAGAGTTGTAATCGACTTAGAGCATGTTAGGCAAGTTGTATAAGCAGATTTTAAAGCTTAGTTAAACATATCCTTATTTTGCTTGTTATTAGGATTCTATTATTCTTAGTTTTCTTCTTTTGTTGATTAGTAGGATTTCTAGTTTCTTGTCCTTTTAGGGGATGATTATGGTATAGTTTATTAAAATTAGAGGATTACCTCTATTTTTTCAAGGCGAGAAGGCTAGGCATGTTTTCTACTTAACCAATTCTATTAGTCAATTTATATTATCAAGATCCTTAAATTTCCCGTCTCAAAATCCAAATCTTAACAGTGGTTCAAATGAGGAGGACCATATGTCATTCAAGATGAAGAGGACATTGCTAACCCCAACGTCAAAATAAAATCAGAAAAGCCCCCACAAGTTGAAAATCAGGGACTTCCGGATTCCAAACACGCGGAAGTTGGCAATGACAATGAGCATGAGAATCATAAACAAATTTATTTAATTGCAATCAACGACCCCTAGCCAAAGCTGGAGCTGAATCACAGATGAGCCAAAGGTTTCGTTTGTCTAGTTCAGGAGAAAGATCTTGTCCAGCCTTCCTACAGCATTGGTGATGTCAATGCCAAAGAATCGAATCGAACACAGGAAATAAAGAGGGAAAGAACCTGGATCCATATAAAGAGTGTACAAGTTCAAGGTATTCGAATCCAAGACCTCACACGTTCCATTCTGGATAGAATTATCCATGCTTGTCCTACGTAGGTCTTGTTTATACACAGAAAATTGAAATATGTATGCTGAAGAGGTCAACTTAAAGCCAATGTGATGAGGACATCATCTATTTTATTTCTAGTTGGACTTTTTCTGTTTTGTAGGCTTTATTTTTGTTTTGGATTCTTATTTATGTAATTAGGCTTATATGGACCCAAGCCCGTATTGCCATGTAATTTCATTTAGTTGATGATTGAATAAAACTTTTGGTGGCTTGTGGCGAATTTCTCTCTTCCTACTTTCTTCTATTTCTTCAATATCTTCTATTGATTCTTCTATCGTTCTTCCTATAATCTCTTCTTTTTAGATCTGTTTCCTCTCTACTAATTGTGTAAACTAATCCTGCATCACAATGTTTTGATAATCGCCAGCCTGACAGAAGAGTTATAGCCTAAAAGACTCATCTTAGAAAAGCTGGATGAAATCTGGTGAACCGGTCTATTCAACAAGGATAATCGGCTATTATTGTATTTGTAATTAATTAATTGTTTTGACTCCTAGCTTGACCCGATTAACTCTTTGACCATTCACATTTTGTGGTTCAGACAACTTAAACCACAATATTATTATTCATGATATGAAATCTGACAAAAAGAATAGTCAAATAACTAAAGAAATGAATAATTTATCTACATGCATCAAGGCATAATATCACTACCTGGAAGGAAGCCAGCATCCTGACGCTTCTCTGCCCAGGAAAAACTGCATTAATTGTAAAAACAAAGATAGATTAGCATGTAAAATTTCGTATCTTGTGTAGACTACAAACAACACAGTCGCAGTTAGCACGATAATTTCTAGATTGATGGACGTAGGAGGTTGTCTGTTGATCTGGTATGCATACCAGTCTCAGGAGATGCCACAGTTCTTACAATTCTCCATCTATTATAATAACATTAAGTGTACTTTATCTTAGGGTCTTGGACAATAATTTTGTATTACTATAAATTAGAGGATCTGGTTCCAAAGAGAATCGAACCAAACTAAGTACCAATGGATATCTTAAAAATGGAACCACTACTTTCGTCTCTAAGAATGGAACTGGGTCAAACCATCATGTTCGGTCCAATTCGATTCCTTCAATTGAAGTTCTCAAATTCGCCAACCGATGCTAGTGGAATATCTATGTTCTCCAACATCTCTTCATTAAAAATGATTTACGTTAATGCTAAATGCAAAATTACATATATGGTACATTTGTGTGATAGTTTATATATAACACCATAATGAACCCCGGGCTCAAGTTTATCAGCTGATATACTAGGGAAGTTCGCAAGAAAATAGTAATAAAAAATAAAAATTCCATGTTAATCCGGGCTTTTGGTTCTTGGTATTAGAATCGAGAATAGGATCCAAACTACCCAATTCTCGATTATAATACCCAGAACGATAAGAAATTGAGTAGAATCTGACCATACCGGCACTTCTGGTCCAGTTTTGGTTTAGTCCAACAGTTTCGTTAACTTTTGCCCACCCCCATAAATGAATCACCACGAGAAGGTCAGACTATACGATTCTTTGTTTCAAATCAACCATAACTCAAAGATGTTGATAGATGAAGCAAAGTGGCAAAGGCAACTTACAGTGCTCCTCCTCCTGCTGGACCTGCTGCTTTAAAAAGTGACATCAAGGTCATGGCAATACCATTTGCAGCTCCTCTTTGGTGCTGTTCCTGTATGTGTAATGTCAGAGAAATCCATTAACGTATGTATGTAAAATAAGTACATAATTGTGTCGAGCTAGATAGGGAAAAAAGCTTTGTAAGATCAATCCAAGAGAAACTTACCACGGCCCTATTTTGCAATATGAACAAACCCGTTACAATGGAGATCTGAAGAAAATGAAGAGTAGGTAATGTTCAGACTTGAAATAGCAATAAGAGTTTCTTATCTAAAATTTATGCTTCCATAAAACTTAATTAGATGAGTATACCAATGAATACACTCAACATTGGCATGCACTTCTAGTTTTACACATACATCTATAGTTTTTTTATAGATCTCGGAATTGTGTAAATTTATCATCAACTATTAGGCTCTCTACTAGTAAAATGAGTATTCAAGGAGATAACAATTAATTCCAGCAGCTGCGTATTAACTTGTTTCTTATTGTGACTTGTGTTCAGAACATAAAGAAGCACTCACCCAATGTAAGTGAGGAATTGAGATGTAAGTTACATAAAAAATTGCCTTCAACTCTCTATCAAAGATTTAATTTGATTTTACAGCTCACAAAGAACCTGGTTCTGAGTATATAAGTCAAATCAATCATCAAAATTTACGTGTGTAGGAGTATACCAAGATCAGCGAAGTGTTTTAGAAAAAGCTAATATGGTTATAGAATTTTTTAACAGCTATCCATGGGCCACGTTGTTTTGATTCTTATACATCAAGGGAACAATAATCTAGAAGGATTATTCATCTTCCGCACTTTATTTTACAATTTTTGTGGTTTCCCATTTTTGAGAGATCATTAAAG